TGGCGGTTTGGGGCTTTGTGATGCAAACGTGCACCGTCTGCGTGGCCTACTTGGAGCGCTGTCTTCTAGCAATCAGCCTCTAAGCACCCGGTCCAGGCTCTGCTTCTTCATTTCAGAGGAGATCCTCAGATGAGGAGCCCAGGATGCGGCAGGATTCTGGGAGGGACGAGAGACTGCCAACAGTCTGCTGACTCGGTGCCCTCGCCCTGGAATCGGCAAGTGGCTTTTCTCCCAGGCGCCCTTGTGTGTGTGTGTGTGGGGGGGGGGGGGGGTGCTGGTGTGCCTGATCAACAGATTCTTTAACTCAGGCCGAATCTTTCAGTGGAACACCATAGAGTTTGCAAAGGAGCTTTCGGAAGCTGAGGGTAAAACTCACGTCGACCACAGGGTTTCTGCGGCCAGCAGGAGATGCTCTGGTCCATGCAGGTGGAGCCAACATGTCTAGCCTTCATGGCCTGTGCGCTAAGCAGGGAGGATGCCGCACCCACTGGGGGCTCTCCTCATGGACTCCCGAAGAAGTGCTCTCTCCGAAGAAAGAATTCCAAAAAGCTCCTAAGAATTTAAAAGTGCATTCGAAAGTTGTGCTCTTTTCAGAAAGAAAAATTCCAAATTCCCCAACGATATTCAAACAGGAATTTGTTGCCACTCTGGAGCAGGGCGGGGTGGGGGGGGAGGGCGGAGGGTAATGGCAAGGTGGAAAAAGATGAGGAAAAGGGAAATGTGAATTGGGGAGAAGCCCTCCAGGCGCTGGTTCCTTGGAGTACCTTGCTCTGGCCTGAAGGCACCACAAGATGGCAGCATTTCTGAAAGTTCTAGGCCCCCCCCCCCCATCCGCCCCCAAAAGGCTGCCTCTCTGGGCGCTGGGGCGCCTTGGCGTCCAGTCAGGAGCACATCCTCCTTCATATTTAGAAGGATTAAGAGTCCCGACCTGAGATGCTCTTGTCCTCAGCCAGAGAGAAGAGGGCCAGGGCAGAAAGGCTGGATCTCTCCGGTGCACGTTCAGCTGTTTAAACAAAATCAGCGTTGAACCCAAGTGCCTGTTGGCCAGTGGCCACTTTGGACGTCGGGCTGGGTTGTCTTAGTTTGTCTGAGAAACAGAAAGCTTGTTTGGCCAGATGTTGCGTGGGGGCCAAGGAACTTTGTGGTGCTTTAGAGAGTACGTCCCCGCCAGCTAACCTCAGTTTGGATGCACTGGGGGACTTTGCACCCCTGGTACAGCCTGGCACCAGCACCTGCATTCGGGTTCCCAGCCCCCCC